CTTCTGCGGCCCTCTCCACCCAAGGGCAGGCAGGTCTGCGGGAGCTGATACGCTCAGGGAGCCTACTTGAAAGTCCATTCCCTGCATGTACTGGCTCCAGCCTACCCCTCTCATCCTCTGCGCTAGTATAGAGAGGCAGATCAGGTGTTCATGGGGAACCAGTTTTTAAGCTAGCTCCTCATGGGCACTGTCTCTCACTTTCCTGATGCAGAGGGAGCAAGGGGGGAGAATGCATGTAGCCAACAAGATTAACTGATGAGGCTCAGCTTATCAGTTAATCGTCTATTCCTCTATAGGATGACATCCCTAGCAGAGATGTGAGCTGAGGATGATCAGTGTCTTATTTGATTTGAGCTCTAATCACATACAGCAGTTTGTGGGAGTTTCACATTGTAATGCTTTCAAACTTTTTTGTTTGCTTCATTGGCAGACCCCTTTTTAATTGCCTCCTAAAAATGCGGTGTCACTCCTGGAATAATTGTATGAAGGATAAATTAAATAGCTGAAATTTAAATGCCAGAATCTAGTCAACCGATCAGCTGCTGGTATAGTCAAAATGGCAAGATCCCTTTGCCCCTAGTGTTGACATTTGAATGTGGTACATTGTCCATATAAATGTCCATAAAAGCATAGCTTTTTTAAAAATAACTTTGGGAAATTACAACTCAGTGCCCGTTTGAACCATTTGGAAACAAAGTCAATGAACTACTCACAACTGCTGTTTAGCCAATGCTGAATCAAGCTCTTAAAAAAACCTCAGTTTAATACTTAACCTGTTCCTACTACAATATGTCAGTTTATCGATCAAAAGCCTTTCATTACCTAAGCATTTCTCAAGTCTAATATTCTAGTCTAAACTGAGCTGCACTGAATTTATTACAGGTATCTAGGTGTCAATGGGAATACCAGGTTGAAAAGGGATCCTGGTGGCTCTGGTCAGCACAGATGACCAGGCCATTAAAAGTTCAGCTGGCAGTGCAGGGGGGTTAAGGCAGACTTGCTGCTTGCCCTGGGTCTGAGTGGCAGCCAGAAGCAGTGGCATGTCCCTGAAAGCCCTTAGGCATGGGACGGCCAGGGAAGTTGCATGCTGCCTCCTGCCTTTGCCCCTAGCACTGGTCAGTAGCTCAAATTGGCTTGGAGCTGCCTGAGGTAAATATCGCCCAACCAGAGCCCACGTCCTGTACTCCAACCACCTGATCCAGCCCTGCGCCTTTTCCCAGAACCTGCACCATGTTCCACACTCCAACTCCTGACCCAGCCCTGAGCCCTCTCCCAGAGTCAGCATCCCACACCTCCTTCCTCTAATCCCCTGCTCTAGTTCTGAGCCTGACCCGCACCCATGCTCTCTCTGAGCCCACACACCTCCGTCCCACACACTTCCCAGAGCCTGCACCTCCAGCTGGAGCCCTCACCTCTCCTGCACCCAAACTCTCTGCTGCAACCCAATAAAAATGACCAAGTCAGTGAGAGAGGGGAAATGTGAGACAGGGGAAATGTGATGAGGGGGTGTCTTAGAGAAGGGATAGGACCCTGGGGAAGAGTGGGGCAGAAGGCAGAGCAAGGGTATTCAGTTTTCTGAAATCAGAAAGTTGGCAACCGTAAATTATTTTCACTTCTGTCCTTCAGTGTTCAGAATCACTAATACAGGACATATACAAGTTAGAGATCTGAAAGTGTAACCGTGTACATGGTTAACCAATGAGTCTGGGCTCAACAGTTAACGTGCATGGTTACACACAGGCCTCCGCCCACCGTGCTGAGTAATGTCAGTAAACAAGTAATTTTATGGCAGTTAGTGGAGTTACTCTGGATTGACAAAGTAAAATCCGAAGTGGATGTTCTGTTATGCCTGCTCAGCCCTTCTGCAGCATGCTCAGATATGTCATGTAATTGAATGGTTGTGTAACTGCATGAAATCTGAGTGGTTATATGAGTATTAAATAATCCCCGGGGGTGGGGCTGGCACTCCCAGCCCCACTCCTGGGAAGCCCCCTGCCACCTGTATCAGAGGCAGCAGCACGGGGTGGCAGGCAGAGCCAGTCCATGAAAGGAGTCAGTTTAAAAACTAGCTCCCGGTACAGACAGGCTGCCTGCCTGGACCATGCTGCTGCCCCTGTCGCCATGGACACAGGCTGCTCAGAGGGATGTGGAGCAGCCTCTGTCCTTGGAGATCTCAGATCCACTGCAGACAAGGGTTGCTGCTGAGAAGCAGCCTCCACTGCCCTGCCCCTCCACACTGCTGCCTCTGGTAGGCAGGCAGCACCAGGGAGCTGGTGCTAGGGAGTCTTTTAAGATGCCTCCCCCTAGCACTGGCTTCTGCAGCCCTCTCCACCCAAGGGCAGGCAGGTCTGCGGGAGCTGATACGCTCAGGGAGCCTACTTGAAAGTCCATTCCCTGCATGTACTGGCTCCAGCCTACCCCTCTCATCCTCTGCGCTAGTATAGAGAGGCAGATCAGGTGTTCATGGGGAACCAGTTTTTAAGCTAGCTCCTCATGGGCACTGTCTCTCACTTTCCTGATGCAGAGGGAGCAAGGGGGGAGAATGCATGTAGCCAACAAGATTAACTGATGAGGCTCAGCTTATCAGTTAATCGTCTATTCCTCTATAGGATGACATCCCTAGCAGAGATGTGAGCTGAGGATGATCAGTGTCTTATTTGATTTGAGCTCTAATCACAT